GATGAGGAATGAGCTAAGGGAGATCGGGGTTCAGGATATTACATTAAAAGGATTATTGAGCACAGAGCATAGGGCACAGACCAGAATTCTTATAAACTTTTTAAGAGTAACTGGGGGTTTTTATAGGATATGAAGAGTTAAAGGAATAGTGAGGTAGGTAAAGTATTATTTTTTATTGTTGTTGTTGTTGTTATTAATGTTATTATAAAGCAGGGCAGGGATAAGGTGTGCGTGTGTAGGTATGTATGTGTCGGGATAGAGGTGGGAGAATGGGTGATTTAGTCTGTAAACCTATTTTCTGATCCACACTCCGGGGCAGAAGGTGGCGGTAATGCACCAATACGCTGGATGCCAACCGCCGTAAAAATATAAGAAGAAGAAGAAGAAGAGGAACAGCGAAAGAAAACGAAAAAGATAAAGAAAAGAGCATGGGCCCACGAGGCGTCACTCGTTTACTGAATGAAACGTTGCTGAATATTGCAAGTGAGAGTGCGGTCTTATCTCCTTTATACAGATATGTTATCTTCGACATGCACCTTGGATGGTGTGCGTTTGCTTTAGTGTTTTATTATGCAACAATTATATAACCGGAAAACGTACATCATCTGCCTGAGCTGGGCTGAATGCTTTTCCAGCACTTTGTAGTAAAAGCAAAGCACTTGTAATCAATCACCATAAAGCTGTTCCGCGGCGTGAGCGCCTTGTACATCGATTCGGCAACAATTCGTTTGTGATTGGGTCATACAATAAGTATAGAATATTCTGACCAATCACCGTAGAGTGCGGTGTAAATAAGATGAACTAAACTACACTTCACCTCAAAGAAAACGGCGCGAAGTTGGGAGCGATACCAATTCACTTTTAGAGGGGTGTTCGTAAGCGCTGTACTGTTATTGATGTACACTCGTAAAACGAATTCAAACGTAATGAGGAAATATACTTTGTGTAGCGTTAAATAGGCACACATAGCGCTTAGGACAGTTATCCAACAGGTTTCGTTTTCTTAAAGAAACCCCATGTAGTGCTGACGAATGAAATCGCCCAGAAGAAGGAAATGTGGAGGAGAACTCAAACAGAAGACCCAAATATGTATACAGGATCTCATTATTGTCCATAAATATTACATAAACGCGTTTATTAATCGCTACTGTTTCCCTCTGAATAAGTCGGTAAGTTCTAAGAAGATACTAGTTTTTAAAAATGTGTATGAAGCTAGTTGAGTTAGTTTTACCTTCAAATTGAATAAAGTTAACTTAACGTACTTTTTACTACGAAAACACGTTTGGACGTAGATTTATCGGTGAGGTATTTTAGTAAATATATAAAATCGATTTAAGTTACAACTTTGTTGTCAATGCAGGTGTGTTTTGAAAAACGTGACCACAATGTCTCAAGTGACCCTTTTGGATGAGGTCTCTCAGTGGAACCAGGAGACCTGTCAACAAGAACTCAAAACGGTCCTGCCCAAACTAGTTATATCCTTTCCTGACTTCACAAATTAATTTTACTTGTAGTCTAAGGCAATGTATGAGTGTGCACATATTTGATTGTTTAGGACTACCTTAGTGTCATTTATGTAACATTATGATTAAGATTAGCCTTGACACTTGAACGCCATGCATCATGACACTGACAGCTGGGAAGAGCACACAAGTAAGTCTGAGCTGTCTTCAATATGTAATTGTTTTAGACCTGGCATATCTCGAGTGGACCTCTCAATAAATATTTTATTCGTATAACCTACTTTGTTGATTTTCTCCACATGATTCCATCTCCACAGATATTCTTCAAATAATCACAAGCAGGTTCCTCCCTCATCTTTCTTCATCAGAATTAGAGATGGGATGTTTCTCCACGGTCTTACCCAAGGTTTGAGAATTAAATTCCCACAAAATGTTGGTTTTATAGTTGGGAAGAGCATTTTTTCTATTTGAGTACTTGGTAGCTCATTTAAAAAAAGAACTTGAGTACTCTAGGTATCATGATGATAATGAAACAATTTTAAATAAAACACACTGTTAATGGAAATAATATAAAAAAAATAACACAACTAGTTATAATTATTAATAAAAAAAATGTTATGCAAAAGATGAAAGGAATAAGATTGTTTCAAACAACACAGTTGTAATGAATTATGTCTCGCGTTGCATGAGCTGAAAAGTGAATAAACACCGGTAAAATTAAGCGCTTTGGTAGAGGATTGATTAATTCATCATATATGAGTGTTATATATTCATATATTACGGAGTGATTCTAGACATCATTGTGCACTTCAAAGCCTTTGTTTCACTTTAGTTCTCTGGTCTGGGCAGCATGCTGTCTGAATGCTTAGCAATCAGACAAGGTACCTCCCAAAATGCTGTCATAGCCAATCAGGGAAAAAAAGTAATTAATTTTCATGATTTATCATTGCTGTCACTTTCGAGTATCGGGTACTCGTGCCAATTCAATTCTATAGCCTGAAGTATTCAACAGGAAGCCTATTTTCATGTGTTGTCATGTACGATCCACAGGTGGTAAAAGTGTTTGCCAGTCTTTTGGAAGAAATCAGCAAGCAAATTGGAGGCCTTTCTAGTCAGAACACAGAGCTACATGTGTTATTGAGAAATATCTTGAAGGTTTGAATATGCCATATTGAAATTGAAACAAACATTTCTTCATTTGCTGGTCATAGTGATTTCTGCTGTTGTGTTTTTGCCAGATGATGGTCCAGACCCTGGAGTCTCTCTCTGGCTGTGTGCGTCATGTCTGTTCCTTCGAAGAGTCTGTCTCCTTTGATGCCATTCGCTCTCTGCCCTCCTGCATCCTCAGAGTCCTAAAGGACACCTTCCAGCACTGCAAGGTACAACATTATTATTATATAATGCACTGGACATATTTTTACACTATCAGCCATCGATTGTGAGTACACCAAAAAGGCTGTTGTCTGTTTTAGTGTGTCTGTGAACTGCAATAGTGGTTATGCAGAGGATTTTATTTTCTGTCAATTTCAGTATGGTGTTGATGTGTTTATAGGACAGTGAGGTCATGTACAGTGGAAGGCTGTCATTGGTGGGCGATCTGCTTCAGGGCCTGTTTAAAGAGGCCTATTCTTTGCAGAAGGGCCTGATGGAACTCATGGACAAAATTAACTTGGAGGACACTGCTTCTGAGGAGGAAGTGTCGGATATTGTCACAGGTTTGTGGTATCTGTGTGAGAAATCTCCAGTGAAGAGGTGGATTTGCTTTTCAGTAGTTATTTTGAATTTTGTGTTTGGCTTGCAGTAATTCACAGTCTGCTGGACATATGCTCGATCATATCCAGATTGGACATTGCGCTACATGCCAACACATGGAAATTTATCATAAAGTGAGTTTAATGTGCATCATAAAACCTTTTATCTGATTTTAATAGAAATATTTTTTTATGGCCATGTTGCATATAAAGATTAATTTTATGTCCTGAAGTAAAAAGGAAAGTCTCACTTTTGCTGCATGATTTAAATGCCAGTAACTTGAGTCCAGGTTTTTTTTTTTTTTTTTTACTAGATAAATGTTACACAGTCAAAAAACCTTCTTGTGCCAATTTGATCAGACATTATAAATAGCACCTAATACTTAATTATTCAATCTAAAATCTCTATGAAAAAAAATAATAATGCTAATTTATGTACTGACAGTTTGTGTTTGATTTCAGACAGAGCGTGAAATACCAGTCTTTTGTAGAAGATCGGCTTCACCACACTGACATAGCCTTCTCGTTGTGTGAAAACCTGTGTACATCTGTCCAAAACTGTCTTGAGCTGGCCCAACAGATTCAACAGGCAGGCCTACAGGTAGGCTCATAATCAGTTAAACATTTTTTTGCAGAGGTGGTGATTTATTGGTTGATGTGGTATTTTTGTTGGACAAGTCTAAAGTGTTTTTATATAAAAGGTCAGCTCATATCTGACTTCCTCCTTTTGTTTGTCATAGGAAATTGTGCACTGTCCAGAATACAAGCTTTTCCAAAAAGCAA